GCCTAACTGGACAGATTGACTTCTCTGAAGTTTCATTGACTTGGTGTTATACTGTGATGATTAAGTGTTCCCTTCATTTTTGAGCAGTGTAGTAACTAAAACACTGAAAGTCTGAATGCAGTTGTGAGTTGTTAATTAGCAATGGTTACTTATTTAATCTCTACTTATTTGTCTGTTTCTTCAATGTCAAAGATGAATCATTCCAGACCTGATGATGACAGATACAAAGTATCTGATGTTGATACGACTGAACGTTTGTATGAGAATGTAATGGTAAGTTATCATTATAGTTAGTCCATTGGTGTGGACACAAATATGGTTATTGTTATAGATATCATTATAGTTATCAGCTATTTGTCCATTTTTGGTTGAGTTTTCTCTCTATTCTCTCTATTTTTTTCTTCTGTAATGACAAAGATGAATTATTCCAGACCTCATGATGACAGACTTAATGACTATGATGTTGAGTCGACTGAACCTGTGTATGAGAATATAATGGTAAGGGTATTCACTCTTGATATCAAATGTCTACTGACTAAGTATATGGTGCACAGAATATAAATCACGGTTTAAGATCAAGTAATTCAAGTCCTTTTTACTGACCAGAAATTTGAAGTGTATTATTTAGTCATGAAAGTAATTCACAGATTCACTTTCTTTCTTTTAGCGTGACAGGCCGTAGTGTTTGGGACACGTGGCAAAACATTTCGCAGCCTTTTTCTGTCTCTGTGGGTGGAGCCTGAATGATTGACAGTGTCTTGATTTACAGAAATTAATTTAGAAATTGGTTTTAACCCAGAGTGACTTACAAATGATAAGCCTTAAGTGCTCTAATTGTATTTGACTGTACTAAAGCATAAAAATATTATATGAATTAGTATGAAAACAATCTTGAATTACAACACACAAAAACTACATCTAAAAACGAATATAATCATGTAAGATCTCATTGGATGTTAAGTATAACATATTCTGCCTTGTCAGTGTTTTTAAAGATATTGTATATTGCATTTTTATTAAAGTGTATTGTCATACCGCAGGTTGTGTTTTTAGTATTTTCTTTGTATTTACACGCGTTTGACCGGCAGATGTCCTCAGCGGGCGGTGTTCAGAACAGTGAATCATTTTACAAAGCAAATGATTCAGTTGATTTGAAGATTCGGAAAACTACCTTTCCATGTCACTAGTGTTATTATAATGAATCAATGATACAACCCAGCGTTCAGCGCCCTCTACAGAAGAATCTTCAGCTACATTACTCTCAGTTCACACAAATGTTTTGTCATGTATTACATCCTTGCTGCACGTGAGATTCAAAACTTTGTACTTCAGGGATTACGCGTGTCAGCCAGTCAACTAAATGTCATTTGATATGAATGGATCGCTTTCTTAAGGTAACACATTCACTATTCAACAATATCAGCAAAATCTGCCTTCATAACTACACATGTCAGAGCAACAAGTCTGTGACGTCAGCACTCGGCTGTCCATTTCTCATGAGGGTTACATGATCATACAGTCAATACTAGAGAGATGCTGCTGTGAGTTTGGACATGTCTTGTTTTCTCACCTCTCCTGCTACATAGTCATGTGACACAGAAGGACGAACACCTTCTGTTTCAGATTCATCACTGATAAACCTGATGACAATTGGATTGGAGTTCCAGGAGTGACTCTTACTATCACAGGTGACTTTCATGAGGTTGAGCTCTTCTTCTGTGCATGACTGTCAATGACTGACCAAGGCTCAGCCGGAGGATCAACTGAACACGGTGGAATCCGAGGACTGATGGAGACTGGAAAATCTGAGGCTCATCCACATTGCAAAGTGGAGACATAGAAGAGAAGCTGGAGCCAAAAGACAGGGTGGTTTGGGAAGAGGAGGTGGGAGAGGGAGGCTAGGCATGAGCATCAACGACTACACAGACTTGGTACTGGGCAGAACTAGCAGAGACACAAAATCTAAAATCGGAGACAAATCGGTGCTCGTTCAGCCGAGTGACAATCATGCAGTGTGAATTATCAAAGATGCGAACTGAGAGAATCGCAGACGCTCGTGAAATATTTGACATGCTAAATATCTGGACCTGTCTGCAATTCAAAATCCTGCAGTGTGAAATGAGTTCTGACTGAAAAATACATTGGCGATGACCTACAGCCAATGAGAGAGCAAGATACAGGGCAGTGGGAAGTTCTGGGAGGAATTATATGAAACGTAGTTTGTGGACCAGACAGAGTTGTCTGCGTTTCTTCCTATTATAAAGTCATGCTGTGTGTAACCTCCTGTCACCGATCCATCGTGCAATCTGAACACAGCAGCAACTGAATACTACCCCAGATAGTTGTGCAGTGTGAAAATAACAGTGATCCGACGACTTTGAAAATCATGCAGTGTGAACTCGCCATAAAACTGTGGTGCTGCGTGAAACATTTTTGTGGCAAGGAACACTCACTCTCCCATTTGTTCATTACACTTTCTTCAGCTGTTGTGGAGGGGGTAGGGCTCCACAACATCCCCTTGTACTCCACCAGTAATCCGGCGATCTGTGGCTCTGGTGTTGGCTCTGACTCTTGTATCTTGATAGGCTCGTGCTCATGGTCTACAGTGGATTCATGACAACTGTCATTAAGTGTCATTCACTCACATTTTTAATGCAAATATGACATTATTTGACCTAACCCTACCCCTACCCTTACCCCTAATAGCCCATAACAAAGACATCTCAAACAATGTCATCTTTGCATAAAAAATTACATAACTAAACGAATGACACTTAATGACAGTTGTCATAAACTTGCATAAAAAACCTTCATATTCATGACATGTGTCATGTCATGATTATGTAGGTGTCATGTCAGTCTTATGTAGGTGTCATGTCATGATTATGAAGGTGTCATGTCAGTCTTATGTAGGTGGCATGTCATGATTATGAAGGTGTCATGTCAGTCTTATGCACACCCCTTCAAGTAAAGTGTAACCGATATGTGTATATAGGAATTAGTTAAGTGCTTGCGGAGGTGTGCCTTCAGTATGATGTGTGGATTAAATGATGAGAGGTTTATTTTATTCAAGGACTGAGAAAAATTGATAAAGAAATGAATTAATTCAAGTATATAGCCACAATTGTGTTTTCTTTATTTAGATGTGCTTTGGTCTTTCAGCTTTAAACCTCATTGTTGATGTTTTAAATGCTGAAAATAAAGCTGTTATTTTGCAACAGTTTAAGGCCTTGTCATTTAATACCTCAGATTTAATAATACATTAATACACATACATTTAGAGATTTGAAAAGCACACAATGGACTGTACTAAAAAATGGATAACCAGTACCTTACACTAGTTAACGGTGTATGAAAACAGCATTTGTGCACCACCTGCTGGTGTCCTTGTTCCAACACAGCATCATTTTCTTTCATATTAAAATGAATGTGGATAAATTTTAAATGCCAAGCTCCAAAAAGTGTCATAAAACACTCCATACGATTAGTGGAATATGTGAAGTCTTCGATAGCTTTGCTAAGAGATTACTGGCTTCAAATCTTGTGATAATATGGCACTGTTGCTCTCAAAATCATTCGTGATCGCGTTTTATAGAGGCTTTTCGGGCATGATACGGTCACGTGACACGCATTAATCGTTTAGCGCCATGACGTCAAACCAAGAGCCTGTCCAAAGGCGCCATTTTAAACCTGAACGTCACCTCCAAGGGGAAGATTATGTGACTATCGACTTAAATTTTTGATTTATTCATGTCACAGGTATGTCATATAGTGTCTAAAGATTTGGAACGTTACTCTGCAGTCGTGGATTACTGTCACAGTAATTTTTGTTTGTTTTGTTTCGGAAAAACCTATATGTACCTTCTGCATGAAATCTGTGTTTCACGGAGGAAAGAAACTACTGTGCTGGAATGGCAGCCCTGTTGAAAAAACCAGCATATGCTGGTTAGGTGTGTTTTGACGCTGGGATGCTGGTTTAAGCTGGTCCTTTGCTGGTTTAAGCTGGTCCTTTGCTGGTTTAAGCTGGTCCTTTGCTGGTTTAAGCTGGTCCTTTGCTGGTTTAAGCTGGTCCTTTGCTGGTTTAAGCTGGTCCTTTGCTGGTTTAAGCTGGTCCTTTGCTGGTTTAAGCTGGTCCTTTGCTGGTTTAAGCTGGTCCTTTGCTGGTTTAAGCTGGTCCTTTGCTGGTTTAAGCTGGTCCTTTGCTGGTTTAAGCTGGTCCTTTGCTGGTTTATGCTGGTCCTTTGCCAGCACATGACCAGCATAAACCAGCAAAGGACCAGCTTAAACCAGCATCCCAGCGTCAAAACATATCTAACCAGCATATGCTGTTTTTTTCAACAGGGAGAGGTGAGTAAATGACAAGACTTCATATCAAGTCATTCAGCTAGGCAAAGAAGGACCCCTAGTGACTGTTATGTGATACATTCATGGGACGTTTATGAATTTACATCGACATCAGTTGAATTTATGTGTCATAAGATAGTTGGTACAGAAGTTTAAAAACATCAGTTTATTTTATTTATACAGATACTTCAAATTATTACAGGATGTAGATTTTTTTTGGTAACACTTTACTTAAAGCCTTTATGTATAATGCATTATACAAGTAGTTTTCATGCATTAATTATGCATTGTATTGCACCTTATAGCCTAATGCATTGTACAATCTCATGAATAATTGTAACCACAGTTAATATAACACTTATGAATTCATTGTTATACTATGCATTTTAAATTTGGTTATAATTATTCATGACAAGATATAATGTACTACAACACATTAGGAATAATTGCAATGCATTATAGCTACCCTTAATAGCCCTTTAATGCATTATAGATAAAGGCTTTAAGTAAAGTGTTACCAAACATTGAACAGATTTTAGTACAAATGTCATTCATTCTGCAGCAGATACAGTACATAATTCCAGTTAAAGTATTTAATAGTTACATTTCACAGTAAACAGTGATGTAAACAGAACAGTCTGTAGTCAGTCATGGTCTCATTTTCCTACATTCGTGTAGAGGATCATAGAAACGACCATTGCTGCAATCTGTAAAGAAACAAATCAGGTGCAATATTGTATAAAATAGGCCATTTGCAGTAATAAGAGAGTGAGTAAATGACAAGACTTCATATTAAGTCATTCAGCTAGGCAGAGAAGGACCCCTAGTGGCTGTTATATGATACATTCAAGGGACGTTTATGAATTTACATCGACATCAATTGAATTTCTGTGTCATAAGATAGTTGGTACAGACGTTTAAAAACATCCGTTTATTTTATTTATACAAATACTTCAAATTATTACAGGATGTAGATTTTTTTTGGTAACACTTTACTTAAAGCCTTTATGTATAATGCATTATATTCGTGTAGAGGATCATAGAAACGACCATTGCTGCAATCTGTAAAGAATCAAATCAGGTGCAATATTGTATAAAATAGGCCATTTGCAGTAATACGAGAATGAATGAGTTACTTAACCATTTTTAATGTTTCTAGTTTTTAAGTCACTATCTCTATTGATATCACAAAAGTAACTTTTTTGTTTCGAAACTTCAATTCAATTGGTTTAACCACATTGGCCGTCTTTGTGGAAAATGTTGCTTGTGTAAGCAAACCTCAATATCTCATCTCAGTCTGTGGAACAAAAACTGGTGAACTTTTTTTAAATATGTGGTGGACCTTTCCTAAAAGAATTCACAGCATCAGTTCTATTGTATCGCATACTGAGATGTTGATCATCATGATGTTTGTCTAATGTCATTTGGTGCATATTAAAACATATTAATCAGCATAGAATATCTTGCATGTGTTGAATTCATCAAGTGGAAAGTAGAAATGAAGTAAATACCTCTAAAGCGGCGATTCCCAAAGCCACACCAGCCAGCAGAACTGCATTATCCTCGATCAGATTCACTAATGCATTGAAACAGCCCACGACAGACTACAACAACAGCAAAAACACACACTGATAAAATACACACATCAATACAATATCTGCTTGTGCTTAGACAGTTATGCACATGCATTTATTATTTGCAACCCAATGGGCCAAACCAATGTGCCAAAATAATCAAAATAGTAGCTTGCTGTCTTGCTAAATGACAAATTAGTGGTGTGCAGTGAGGCTATGGGACTGTCATACATTCGTTGATGTCATTAATCTCATGCATTTCAGCTTTGGTAGTAAGTTTCAGCACAAAGCGTTCTGTAACATACCGCTCTTTTTGCTTCATTTTCATTACATGGTCCTGAACTGCTTCTGCAACATGTGACAGGATATAATGATGCTGTAGATTCAAATGGAGAGCCCATGAAGTCAGAGTAGTTGTTATATCCGCAGCATTTCAGCTAAAAAACAAAACACACACATGCACAGGCTGTGGTTTACAAACAAGAGTTGGAATTATGAGGGATTCTATTATCAGAAAACAGCTAGACATGATGTCTGGTGCCGTATACCTCAGACATAGTGCTATCCCAGACTGAAGTGTAACTCTCATCCTCGCCATATTTATTCTTAATGCTTTCAGCAACTTTCTGTCCAATTCCATCCAGAGCTTTCTGAACCTGGAATGAGGATACAATTCACGTTCAGCCACTGATTTTACAGAACCAAATAGGATTCAACCACATAGGATTATGGAATCATAAACATAACATCCACATGCGCCTTATTATATGATTTATGTATTTGTATACAGACATAATAAATCATTGTGGTTCTTAATGTGATGTTCCTTGTATTGTGAATATGAACTCGGTCATGGAAAATGCATTAATTTGAATTCATTTAAAGCTCTAGCTGTTATTTTATTTTAAATCCCTTTTATATAAGATCATTATTCAAATTTTTTTTTTAGTTCACTACATAGGCTTTTTGAGTTGCTAAGAAAGTATTTTACATTTGTGTTATTTCTGCATGTGAGCTCCCACGGTTATGAAATGGTTCGAAATATGGGAATTTCTATAATGACATTTCTATTAGTTTGTCTAAATATGCTAGAATTGTTTCTTCGTGAGATTCTTTAAATCTTTGTGACAGTAATCTCCATAAAACGATCCTCAAAAATCCTTATCCAATAATAATAATATTGAAAAGCCATCCAATTGGAAATGCATTGATCAATCGGTGTGTGAAACCTGTTAGCAGTTTTGTAAAAATAAATAAATAAATACAATTGTTGTAAACAAAATAAAGATAATGTTTTACAAAAAAATGCTATTTCAGACTTCTACCTCAAAATTCCATGTTTAATTCAATGAGTTATTTGCTGTTTCTTTATAATTATTTGTGAAATTTGCTAGCAATTTTTGAGTGCAAATTGTAAATTCTGCACCAATTTTTTCAGAGTATATGTGCTTTTGTTCTGGTGCGGTGCATCAGCTCTCACCAAAGGCTCACATTTTTTACATATTAAAAGACTAATTACTTTCACCCCAAATACTAATTAGTTGTAATTTTACATTTTTTTTTTTATTTGCCACTATCCTAGGTTTTGCCCATTTGTCAATAAGAATTTTTTACTCATTTAAAACACAATCAAATTTAATATGCTCCCTTATTCTTTTATATATTTTAATATGTACACATCAGAATAAGCATGTTGTTTGAATTTTTACATAAATATTGTGTTACACTGAATGACAATGTAACATTATTTCAACCAAATTTTGACATTTTATTCTCCAAAAACTTATTTGAAACCTTAAAAGTAGACACTTTACTTACATTTTAATGTGCTTTCTATGGACA